ATTGAAGCCGTCTCCAGCCATTATAAGTGGAAATTAGTCTAATTGAAATATTAGAAGAGGAAACTTTCCTAATATATATTTGGAATTAAAAAATATGAGTTATATTTCACTCTTACTTGCATCGTGGATGTGCTTTTCCCTTCATTTCTAAAGCTGTACAATAATACAAAAGCCTTTAAAAGAAAAAACATGTTCCCATCTTATCTCGCGTTTGTTCAAATAAAAATAAATTTTCGCGCTATTCCTAACTTAGACGAAAGGGAATCGCAGCAATGTCTGTTTTAGCGCCATCTATAGCCAACTACAGGAAACTGACAGAGTAAGCCTAGAATATTAATTATAGAGAATATTAAAGTGCATTCGAGTGCATGTTAAACGTGTTATTATTCAGAACTGGAGAATATCAGGAAACACAAAAAAATATTATTATTTCAAGAGGGAATAAAAAGTAAGTAAATGGGGACCGTCACAGTTGAAATAACTGATAATTATTAATTATAATTTCACCTTTCCATAACTAGTTTACAATATCTATAGTTCGGTATATCCAAATAATATTTCTAAATTTTCGTGTAGGCGTTTTGCATGCAGTTAATAATATCTTTGTAAAGTTGATGTTTAAATTTCGGAAACATGTACTATTTCTTTTGCTCAGGTAAAGTTTAGAATTTTATTGGATAGTCAACATGGTTTCACTAAGGGAAAAATCTTCTCTTACAAATATTTTGAAATTCTTTAAAAAGGTTACTGCTTATGTAGATAAGGGTAAGGATGTAGATTTGGTGTATCTGGATTTTCAGAAAGCATTTGACAAGGTGCCACATAAAAGTCGTGAAAAATAGTATATCTTTAGGTCACATTATTATAGGTGTGTGTGAGGAATAAGTTAGCTAATTGGATAGATGAGTGTTTGGATGGAAGAAATCAGAGGGTCGGGTCAAACTGGATTAATGCCACAAGTGTGGTACTTCAGGGCTCAGTCTTAGAACCTTTGCTCTTTTCGATTTACATCAATGACATAGATGAAGGAATGATCAATAAATTACTTAAATTTGCTGATGATATTAAGAGCTAGGG